CAATAGTTACCGTGCCGGGAATTGAACCTGTCACCTCCAGACGGCGTCTTAAACGCCTCCCAAAACAGATATGTTAATTAGCCATGGTGTCATTCATTTCAACCATAGCAACCAACATCTGGAGTACTAGCTTCTTCAGCCTTATTATTTTTATCAATATGCGCTTAAACAAGGATTAACCTTTTTAGGGCTCCCGCCGTTAGAAAGTAATAAGGGGACTGAGGCCCCACCACCACCCAAGGTGTATGTGAGTCGGCGCCCCTACTTAGGGACTACAAAAGTTAAATGTGTGGACACAACGCTCATAATTTCGCTACCTAAGTATGACAACTTTACAACTTTTTCGGTTGACATGTATTTATTTACAGAGTCAGCCCAGTAACATATCGACTCATTCATAATCTGGTGTTTCCTCGGCCACGGGGACACGAAGACGGTCCTTTAATAATATTCCATAACTTCACGATTGCATTGCTAAGTGTACAATTTCCAGTACTTCTTCTTTGCGTTCGGTTTCGTATGCTCACTTCATATTGCATGATTGGCTTTCTATATGAACTCGCATGTCAGCGCTGTGCCTTTATGATTTCCGGTACAATTTATGCATTACATTTCGTATTCCGCCTTATAGATGCAAACAGTGGGGAATGGAGAGTAAGAAGCAAAAACAAAATTCATAATTCGTTTGAATCACCATTGATCACTGGTATCATGAGAGCTAATAGACTGAAATGGTTGGGGCATATTGAGAGAATGTCAGATGACAGAAGTGAAAACTGTATACAGAAGGGATATGAATGGTCGAAGACCACGAGGCAGATAATGTCCAGACAGACCTGCAAACAACTGGAAAGTGAAGGCCAATAAGAGAGATGAATGAAGGCGGGTGATATCTGCAGCAATGAACCTTAAGGGTTCGGAATACTGAAAAAGAAGAAGAAGAAGAGGTTATAGAGGGCCTATCATCTAGCAGAAGGGAGCGAGCAGGGTTATTATAATCGTTCTCCCGCATGTATAGAACACATGTAATGCATTTAAGGGATATTATTCTCAGTCTGTATTAAAGTAACGGATCATCATCATTATGTAGCAGGACGTCGCTCTCTATGGCAAAGTGGTCAAGCCGTTTGCCTCGCCCTCTGAAGCTTGAGGGTTCGTTTCACGGAGCTCTCGGCAGACGGCTAGCCGTTCTGTGGAGAGAGACCGAGCCATGCAGAACGTCGCTCTCATCACGGTCTGCTAGAGCGAAACTCGGTCTCTCGCCAGCTCTCCCGCCTCATTCACTTTCATACTCAAGAAGTCACTTATATCCTGTGCCCATCTTCGTGTCGGTCGGCCCCTGCCCCTCCTTCCTGGTACCATGTCTACTGTTATAATTTTTTTCCAATCCATCGTGGCGCTTGATATGACCAACATATTTCAGCTTCCGAGACAGGATGCTGTTTATTAGCAAATCTTCCTTGATGTTCAGATATTTCAAGATGTCAGTATTTCTCCTCTTCTTTGTCTAAGATATTCTGAGAATCTTTTTTTAGCATTTCAGCTCAAAAGTCCCTATTCTCTTTCTCAAGGACTGGGAGATAGTCCACGACTCACATCCGTATGTAGCCACAGGGAAGATGCATGCTCTCAAATTTTAATTTTGATCTTCTTGCTGGTGCTTAACCATAGAATTTTAATGCTGTTTAATCTTTGCATTGCTATGGCCATCCTACTTTTAATTTCTTTCAGTCTCCATTGCNGGCGAGACGAACCTGTAACCAGATTCTGACCGATACTATCAGTATTGGTCATGTCTATCGTACAGCTTGAAATCCACAACTATGGAATACGGACAGAATTCATTTCAACCCATTGAAATGGCACCATAGGTTACAGAAATTTATGTTAACGAAGCAAATGTCGAATAACAATCACAACAACAATTTACGAACACAGTAGACCTTATTGCCCTGTCTAGAATACACAAACATTTAAGAAAGGTATTTGATTGGTAGGTTCCCGCCAGCTCTTTTGTCATTCCTATAAATAAACAGAGGGGGGAACCATTTGAGGCCGTTAAATATTATGAATTAATCAAGTAACAGAAAGTATTGTGAACGGCACTCATAGAAAGAAGTAGAAAGATAGAAGAACACACTAGACAACATAAAAATCGGAAGCTATAGTTACCATGCCGGGAATTGAACCTGTCACCTCCAGACGGCGTCTTAAACGCCTCCCAAAACAGATATGTTAATTAGCCATGGTGTCATTTATTTTAACCATAGCTACCAACATCTGGAGTACTAGCTTCTTCAGCCTTATTATTTTTATCAATATGCGCTTAAACAAGGATTAACCTTTTTAGGGCAACCGCAGTTAGAAAGTAATAAGGGGACTGAGGCTCCACCACCACCCAAGTTGTATATGAGTCGGCGCCCCTACTTAGGGACTACAAAAGTTAAATGTGTGGACACAAAGCTCATAATTTCGCTACCTAAGTATGACAACTTTACAACTTTTTCGGTTGACATGTATTTATTTACAGAGTCAGCCCAGTAACATATCGACTCATTCATAATCTGGTGTTTCCTCGGCCACGGGGACACGAAGACGGTCCTTTAATAATATTCCATAACTTTATGATTGCATTGCTAAGTGTACAATTTCCAGTACTTCTTCTTTGCGTTCGGTTTCGTATGCTCACTTCATATTGCATGATTGGCTTCCTATATGAACTCGCATGTCAGCGCTGTGCCTTTATGATTTCCGGTACAATTTATGCATTACATTTCGTATTCCGTCTTATAGATGCAAACAGTGGGGAATGGAGAGTAAGGAGCAAAAACAAAATTCATAATTCGTTTGAATCACCATTGATCACTGGTATCATGAGAGCTAATAGACTGAAATGGTTGGGGCATATTGAGAGAATGTCAGATGACAGAAGTGAAAACTGTATACAGAAGGGACATGAATGGTCGAAGACCACGAGGCAGATAATGTCCAGACAGACCTGCAAACAACTGGAAAGTAAAGGCCAATAAGAGAGATGAATGAAAGCGGGTGATATCTGCAGCAATGAACCTTAAGGGTTCGGAATACTGAAAAAGAAGAAGAAGAAGAGGTTATAGAGGGCCTATCATCTAGCAGAAGGGAGCGGGCAGGGTTATTATAATCGTTCTTCCGCATGTATAGAACACATGTAATGAATTTAAGGGATATTATTCTCAGTCTGTATTAAAGTAACGGATCATCATCATTATGTAGCAGGACGTCGCTCTCTATGGTAAAGTGGTCAAGCCGTTTGCCTCGCCCTCTGAAGCTTGAGGGTTCGTTTCACGGAGCTCTCGGCAGACGGCTAGCTGTTCTGTGGAGAGAGACCGAGCCATACGAGACAAAACCCGTTGTAATGAAATCTATCCTTTCGAATTTTACCCTTAAACCTTTTCTCATTTTAGTCTCTGTAATAATCTTTTGTTCTTTCAATTCTTTGTGTATCGTGCTATACGCGGACTGTTCTAACAAACAGTTACATCTGATTCTTCTCTTTTATAGCAAGTTTTATTGTGCATTGAATGTTCTTAGACATCAATTACAAATGTACTAGGAGAAATGTGTTCCCACGTAATTTAAGTCTGAAAGGAACAAGTTAAAAGCTGACTAATTGAAATACTGAAATTACCAACAAGTGATTCGTTTATAAAGCTTGCAAATCATCATCATCATCATCATCATGTAGCAGGTCCTTTGCAGAACGTCGCTCTCATCACAGTCTGCTAGAGCGAAACTCGGTCTCTCGCCAGCTCTCCCGCCTCATACACTTTCATACTCAAGAAGTCACTTATATCCTGTGCCCATCTTCGTGTCGGTCGGCCCCTGCCCCTCCTTCCTGGTACCATGTCTTCTGCTATAATTTTTTTCCAATCCATCGTAGCGCTTGATATGACCAAAATATTTCAGCTTCCGAGACAGGATGCTGTTTATTAGCAAATCTTCCTTCAAGATATCAGTATTTCTCCTCTTCTTTGTCTAAGATATTCTGAGAATCTTTTTTTAGCATTTCAGCTCAAGAGCCCCTATTCTCTTTCTTAAGGACTGGGAGATAGTCCACGACTCACATCTGTATGTTGGTATAGGGGTGATGAATGCTCTCAAAATTTTAATTTTGATTTTCTTGCTGGTGCTTCACCATAGACTTTTAATGCTGTTTAATCTTTGCATTAAAATGGCCATCCTCCTTTTAATTTCTGTCAAACAGTCTCCATTGCTATTTATTATAGAGCCTAGATATTCAAAGTTTGCAACATTTTCAATTTCCTCATCATTTTTTTTTTTTTTTGGAGTGAAGGCCAGTTTTATCTGTGGACATTATTTTCGTTGCATAGGCTAGGGATTGCCTGCCATTCCAAAGATCTTGGGTTCAAATCCGAAGCTAGGCGAATTTTTTAAACTCACATAAGGCAGACCCAGCCTAAAACAAGTGCCAGGAAATATCTTAGGAAATGAAAGGCTCCTATGATGCTAACCAAATAAATCATGTGCCGTCTGGCCTGCAAACATATATATAATTCAAGCAAGCTGTGTGCGAGGCACCAATAGCCGAAATAAATTCATCGAAATAAGTAAATAAAAACTGTTCTTAGATATGTATGTCCTTTATTTCCGCATGAAAGTGTTTTAATGGCTCGCAGAAACCCATTCTGTGATTCTGAAATAAATCTTATGGAAAACTCTCAGGCCGTAGGATCCTCATTTAAACAAATGGACAGATATTGGACTTGTAGTGATGGGCAGTCACATACAAAAGTCAAGAGGTGGGCATTAGACAACACAGAAATTAAAATAAAAGCTATAGTTAATTTACTAGGGATCGAACGGGTCACCTTTAAGTGACGACAGCGCTTTGAAGAAGTGTACTTCGTCACCAGACCAGCTCGACACTCTACAATTCCTCAAACTCTCTACTTCGCCCCATGACTGCCAATCGATACTAGTCAATTCTGCTCTTCTTGGCGTCATCTAGCGGTTTCTTTTGTAGTTGCCTGATCAGCGATTGGCCGACAACAATCAGGTGCTGTAGTGGTATCCTTCCGCGCGTCTACATTACTTTCCGCCTCTACCTGTTGACCGGTCCCTTCTTCTCCGGATTCGTTGGTTTTCTCGATGGTGTGTCTTAGTCGACGCATGTCCATGGCCTTTGCGATGATGCATTCAAAGCAAACAGAACCAATATCGTCTTGTTTCAGAGTTTTTTTCTTGACGTTGTCGTAGATCCCTAAAGCTTTCCATAAGGACTCGTCATTGGTGCGCAAGAAAGGGTTGTACTTCTTCTCTTCACCTGCAAAGTTTATTTATACATATATATGTGTGTGTGTGTGTGTGTGTGTGTATATATATATATATATATATATATATATATATATATATATATATATATATATATAATATATATATATATATATATATATATATATATATATATATATATATATAAGGGCTGTACCGAATATTCGCTTCGTATTCGCTTCGAAGCCGAATAGCGGACCGAATGACTATTCGGTACTCGGCCGAATAGTTGCGGTCGGGCCGAATACGAATAGTGGTTACTTTACACTCAATTCTGCATACACTGCGATGGACTGAAAAAATTCTCTCATTAACACAATAGTTGCTGTTGCCTGTTTGTAGTAGCGGGAAAACTACGACCTGGTTGCGTGGTACAGCAGCTGGCAAGGTCTTGCCTGCTGACTCGACCGAGGCATTACAGCAAAGGTTCTCAAACTGGGTGCGCATGCCAGGGATGCCGGGGCAAAAATCAAGAAAAGTCGGCTATAGATTGTTACATTATTAAAGAAGACATAAAGATACTTGAGATACTTTCCTCACCACTGTCGAAAGGAGCACAGGCGACCGGCAATACCTGCATTTTACAAAATGAAGAACCTCTTATGCAATATATCTTTTCCATTGAAGGTTAGAAAAATAATTCTTGCTTGCTACTATTTTTCTCCTATTTTTCCAGTTTTAACATATGGTTGTAAGTCCTGGACAATCGGTAGGCAGGCCAAACAATTTCTCTAGGCTTCATAGATGTCGTTTTACAGAACAATGCTTAAAATACCTTGAAGAAAAAAAAAAAAAAAAAAAAAAAAAAAAAAAGGGTTTTGAAAGAGGCGGGAGCCCGATGACAACTAATCACAGACATCAGAAGGAGACGGTCATCATTTTTCGGCCATGTGATGATAAGAGGTAAAATGGAACATGTGGTGACCACTAGAAAGATCTGTGGAAGGAGGGATAAAAGAAGACAACGAGAGAACATTCTTGACAGTTTTGGTGCATGGCATGAAGGTGTGTCAGCACACGAACTAATACATGCTGCAGGAGATCGCAGATGGTGGCGAGGCATAATCGCTCACGTCGGTCGGCATGGCACCTGATGATGATGATACACTATTCGTATTCGTATTCGGCCGAATAGTTGGTCCCACTATTCGTATTCGGCCGAATAATGAAAATCACTATTCGGTACAGCCCAAATAAATATATATATATATATATATATATATATATATATATATAGGGGTGGGTGTATTTGTATATGTGGGTATATATATATATATATATATATATATATATATATATATATATATATATATATATATATATATATGAGTGAGTGAATATGTGTGTGTATATATATAGCTTTGTGTGTGTGTATTTGTGTGTGTGTATATATATATTTATAAATATATATGGGTGTGTGTATATGTGTGTATACAAATATATGTGGATGTGTGTGTATATATATATTTATATGTGTGTGTATATGATTGACACCTTTTCGTCTTTCCTGACGATAGTGTTATTTTGCGCTATGAGGAGGCATGAACTCACAGCCCATGGCGACAACGAGTGTGACTAGCAAGACCCGCCCGCGTTGATAAGTCTTCCATAGTTATAACGTGGTATTTCAGGACCATTGATGTGATCATGTATGTTAGTCTGTTTAATCTCAGACGCTCAGCTTTCATCCTTCCTGCAATCATTGCTTCCTTCATTCTCATTCCCTCCTTCATTCTCATTCCATTTCTAATGTTCCTCATATACACAACACGGTTTATGACATTTTGTTCCCATGAGTCCGCCTCAATACAAGTATCATTCATGTGACGCTTGCACACGTCTTTATATCACAGTAGAGGTCGGCCTCGACATCTTCTACTCGTCCTTAATTCACCATAAAGGATGTCATTAGGGACTCTGCCATCCTTCATTCTTCAGGTGTGACCCAGCCACCTAAGCCTTCGTAGACTGAGCATTGAGAAGACTGTTGTAATACCTGCTCTTTCCAATACCTCATTGTTTGGGATCTTGTCCTGCCACTTAATGCATCGCATGTGAAAGATATTTAGCCGTCTCTCCTCGTACATTTTGACCAGGTTTCACTGCCATAAAGTAAAGTGCTCAGAACATAAACCTGATAGACAAGAGTTTCTGTTTTAACCGGGAGCTTTCTGTTCTCTTAAACTGTTATTAATATGCTCACTGTTGCTGCTGCCGCGTGTGTGTGTGTGTGTTTGTATATATATATATATATGCAAAGGATTAGCATTATACATGAACATTCACAATAAAAAAGGCAGATTTATGGGTCACCGTTCACGCCTTCTGGTGAATCTGGCATGTAGTGCCACCCCTATATGTAAATTCCAGGCGGCATTGAATAGATAATGCTGTTATCCAGTGTTTGTTTCATTCTGTGTGTGTGTTGTTGTTGTTGTTGTTGATATTTGTATTTTGTTTGAATTTTTAGAAAGTTTTCAAACACACTGTCATCAAATAAACTAACTAACTTGGACAGCTAAGAAGAGCAACTCAAATTTTTTTTAATAGGCGAGTGCTCGAAGACAACTTATCGCAAACACCAGAAGGAGACAGTCGTCATTTTTTGGTCATGTTAGGAGAAGATGGAAAATAGAACTTGTTGTGACCACTGGAAAGATCTGTTGAAAAAGAGACCGTGGAAGACAGCGTGAGAATATTCGTGACAGTCTTTTGTCAGGGAATGCAGGGCTGTCAGCACACGAACTGATACACACAATTGCAGATCGCAGATTGTGGAGAGGCATGATCGCCAATGCCAGTCGGCAAGGCACTTGATGATGATGAACTATAAACTCGATGCAAACCTGCATTGTTGCCCAATTGGACAGCGATTCCTCAATTTTAGCACTTGCAAAAGGCCTATCATCTTTTTTTTTCCTTGTCTGATAAAATTTCTCTTTTTGCTTCAGCTTTTCATTGTATATGACCAGTCGGAGGAGGGACGAATATTGATTTTTCGAGCCAATACGAAACAAACACGCTCAGCATCCTTGATGCAAATCCAGCAGGACAAATTCCCAGACATCCCGTCGAGTCTCACAAAAAAAGTATGTTCAAGGTACCGGTAAAGTCTACACAAAATAACTACGCTAGTGAACTTTATTGGCCAGGGCGACAAAAGCTGTTGAACAGGTATTCCAGTACAAACTAGATAACAGAGGGCACAGGAAAGTCGACACACAATAGTTCACACGAAATAAATACAAGGAAACCGGTTCTTACAGTCATACAAAAACCAGCGAGCGTTCAAGTTGACCCGTTTAGAATCTATGACTAGTTTTTCAAATGTAAGCGCAGCTGACCGAGATTATAACAGCTTAGATTGTACCTATTACATACGGCATTGTGACCTAGTCGTTGTTTTTAAAAAGACTGATGATAGGTGATGTGGTCAGCATTTTGATAGTGGACATTAAAAAGCCGACCCCAGCTACAAAACAACACCAACGTCATCCGACCGCAACAGTTCTTAAGGATGGAATCGCAGACACGCTGATCTGTAATATCCAGTTTCGTCCCTTTTTAGGATAAAATTTTTTGTTATTTGAAGCCCCACCCTGGCTTTTGCCAGGGGCCGCAATATAGGCAGGCCATAAATATGGCCAATTGTCTGAACGCGGTTTCTGGGACCTCTCCACGGCGATCCTCATCCACATGGTGGCACTTTGTGTCATCGGGTGTTTATCGCTTGTGTGATGTACTGGTGGGGTAGAAAGTCAACCAGTCAGTCAGACACGCTGATCTAGTCACTGCTCATTACAAGTCAAAAGAAGATAAGAACAACACCGGTAACATTGAAATAAGACATCGGGAGAGGAACTGCATGGTTACTTTTGACAAAAAAGATACACAGAAGATCGGCGACAAGCAAGTCTATCGAGTCGTGAATATAAATCAAGTTCGACGAGGAGCTCATGGCGGTAAAGAGTACTTAGTCGAATGGTTCGGTTACAATTCATCATTGAACAGTTGGATAGCCGACAAATACCTATCGAGGTATGGAAACTAGCGCTTTGGGAGAAGAAGACCAGTTGGTTCACTAATTAGCTGTCATGTCCAAAAGTCGTCTTCATCTCTCAGATGCTAGTTATATATATATATATATATATATATATATATATATATATATATATATATATATATATATATATATATATATATATATATCGTCTTCAGAGTGTTTACTGTTCAATCTGTACCGACCTTCTAGAGAACAGGAGGAAACTGGATTGTTCTACTGTCTAGCTGTCTGGGTTACATCTACCTAATTCACACCTAAAACAGCCATTCGTTTGAACCCACCCCCACCATCCCGATGAAAACTCGTCAGTGCTGGGTCATGATATTAATATATATCAGTTTCATAATATATTGGCTTTTACGAATACTGCCTGAGTCATTATGAAAATGACGTGGTCTCAACTAATAATTTATGCATATTATCCCGAGACATGTTGCGAATTACTGATATATATATCTTATTCATCAACGACCTGGTTGCTGATAATACCAAATGGAATCAAAATGGCAATGTATGCCGACGACCTGGTACTGTGGTGCACTGATGAACATGCAACGATAGCCACAAGAACACTACAGCGGGCTACATATGCACTTGAGGCATGGGCGAACGGTGTGTCAGCATCAACACAGACAAATGTAGCACAACACTCTTCACTTTTTTCCCCAAAGCAAAAAGCGGGCATCATCAAAATAAATGGAATACCCCTAAGAGATGATAAAGAGCCCACGTACCTTGGAGTCACATTTGATGACAGGTTGACATGGAGAAAACATATCAACAAGGCAGCAAGCAAAGCCAGGAGGAAGATAGCCATACTAAGAAAACTAAGTGGAGCCACATAACCAGTGGGAAAATACTCAATAAAGTACACAAGCAGAGCATACTTCCACACTTGGAATATGGGTCAACTGCATGGTGTTGAGCATCTAGTACCACATTAAAGGAGTTGGACAAAGTGCAAAATCAAGCACTCAGAGTCATCACAGGAGGGATGAAATCAACCCCCATATTAGAAATGGAGAAAGCTGGGAAAACACAGGCACTGAGAGAACGCAGAGATACAAAGTTGCAAATACAAGCTGAAAAGTTCCTCAGTATGCCAGATCACCCCATGAAAAAATAGATTTCAGAACCTAGCCTTGGGACGGTTAAAAAGAAGCAGCTTTTATATCAAGCAAAAAGAAAATCAAGCAAAAAGAATATGTAAACAAACTGCTGACCTTCCAGAAATTGGTTGTCCACTTAACAGTATTCCAGAACAAACCCCATGAAGAGAGAAATGCAAACTAACAGTACAAATCCAGACAAATGATAAAGGAATATTTTGACCTTTTACTGGTACTTCTAACTAAACTCCACTTTTAAATGTATATCTCTTCGATATATATAAGGGAGTTATTTGAGGTTCGTGGAAACCGATTTACTCCTATGCCCATGTATACAAGGGACTTCTTTTGTAGCTACCAACGCCTATGAGCGGTCTAATGTGACGCCATTCTTTTTGTTCCCCCAAAAAACGTACAAGAATCCAGACGTGTAAATCTATAGCATGTGTTATAATTCAATTTTCTCAGGGCGATTATGGAGCTGATCTCGGACTTGCATATCGCTGGGTAAGTGTTAATCTATAAATTTACGAGCTGACCGAAAATGATGGTCTGCTAGAGTAGTCAGCTGCTGCTAGAGATGATTCTGGTATCGGCTGTGTGATCACCTGAAACTTAGAAAATTCGTATCGCACCGTTGCTTGATCGGCTAGAGAAAGTGAGCAGATTTCGAAACGTCAGACGCTTCCCCTGTACAGACATAATAGCTTATGGCCCTCGTATATGAGAACTGGGTGGGCAACCCGAAATACTGGTAAAACTTAATACTTGCCTTACAATTGTGTACGTTTTTAAACTAACTATAGAAGGTGTACATACCAAATGGGGCCAGAATTAGGTCAGCGGCTGTGTGACCAGTATATGGAGTGTGTTTGACCTAAATCTAGTGAATGCAGGTACTGACAGTAAATATTGGTGTCTGTGTGCAGAGGGAGGGAAAGAGAGAGTGATATATGTGTTAGAACTTTATCTATCTCCACTGTATATCTGAACTTGCCTTCTCTTGCACTAAACAGACAGAGGAAAATAGGAGACTGATGTCTCTTGGTCTGGAGAGGCAATCTGAGGAATGAAACAGGAGAGCGGGGGAGGGGGGAGTCAGCAGATGGGGGTTGATGACTGGTGCTTATTCTGTCTTTCCTGTCAAGATGTTACCCTCTTGGTGATGACTAATTGTGAGTTATTTTCTTGACAGGATGTACCTTTTGTGAGGAGCTGGCAGAAGTTTTCACAGTCCAACCAACATCCACCAACCATCAAACCACCAGAAACAAACTGTTACCCACCAGCTAACACCTGTGAAGGTTCCTGACATCTCCAACATGTGGGAGATGGTACCTCAAACAGCCTACCAGTGCTAGAGCTAGGGTGGCTCAAAAGACAATGTGTTTTCTAATTGGTGATAGAGACTTGCTAATTACCAGTGCAGTATTGTGTCCTCTATGGTGAGGTATTCTCTGACTATTTGATCCAGTGGAGCAGAATTCCCAGAGTCAAAGACAGTCGAATCATCCGGAGCTGAAGGAGGCAATCATAGCCAGAAAGCCAGACAGAAGCTAAGTCTGATGGCTCATTTGCTGTTTGTTTCCTCACGAGCTCCATTGTTTCCAATGATGACATATAGTCACCTTCCAGGACCGGCTGTCTGTATAGTTTCCTTGGGATCTAGACATTAGTGCTGAGATTCTTTCACTGATAGCTGGAATTCACTTCAATTTTTATGTACAGATATTATACTAAATACATGCATTCATTTTCATGGCTGACTTAGGTTTCTCTATGTCACCCTTCTTAGTGTTAGCAGTTGTATGTGTATGTATCTTCATTATATGTGTTAACATGGTTATGATAATGAACTATCATAACCTGAGGGCTTTCTTTAGTAAGTAGTGGGGGTGTCCAGCCAAGTGTGCCTAGAAATATTGTATTCATATACTGATATATTTTGTAGTGCCAATACTTGAGTTGCCCTACTCCAGAGATAAGTTGAGCGTATATTGGCCACGGGGAATCCCTTAGACCAATACGAGCCATACGACTCAACATAATTATCTCTGAGTGCTGTTGGTTCTGAAGGAGGAATCCTTACATTAGGCACGCGACAGGAGTGATATGTGACATTGATGAAGAATACCCACAAGAACAATGGGTCAGAGTTTATACAGATGGGTCCGCAGAAAGTGCAGTAAGAAATGGTGGTGCTGGAGTTACATAGAATTCCCAGATGGTACTAGGGATAAGTCCAGCGTACCAACCGGAAAGTACTGCCATAACTATGATGCAGAAACTCAGGCTATCAAGATAGCAACAGAAAAACTGCTAATTACCAATCTTGGCTCCCAGTATGTGGTAATGCTGACAGATACAAAATCAGTACTTGAAGCACTCCAGTCTAGGAAACTACCAGAATTGCAAACACTGCTGACACACTGCCTTCAGCAAAGAGTTGTAATGCAGTGGATGTCATCACATTGTGGAGTGCCTGGAAATGAGAAAGCTGATCAACTGGCAGGAGAAGGTGCGACAAAAGTGCAGCCAGATGTACCAGTCACATTCCACCCAAAAGAATCATTAAATCAATCAGGAAACCACCAGTCCCAGCACAAGACGACTATTTTATTATGGACAGATCAGAACAAGTCATTATCCTCCGCCTCAGAACAGGGCACAACCGATTACGTAACCAAATGTACACAAAATTCAAGATAGGCTATCAGCCATGTGCACCTGTGGAAAGGTGCCCCAGACAGCAGAGCATGTATTCCAGGACTGCACCGAATTTGACACATTAAGGCAAACCTTTTGGCCAGAAGAACAACAGTGGAACGTAAACTCTATGGACCCCTGAATGAATTAACAACAACAGTGAAATTTATACAAGAGACAAAATTGCTGATATAGACAACTTATTTCAGGCGAACGAAAGAAGAAGAAGAAGAACTTATATATATATATATATATATATATATATATATATATATATATATATATATATATATATATATATATATATATATGCATATTGTCAGTGGCGCTTCTACAACCACCACCAAATGCCGTCCCCACAATGAAGGCTGAAAACATTATCCTTTGCTGTTTTCGGAAATATTACGTGGTGAGGTCCAAATCTCTTTCACGGTAGGACTCCATTTTAAAATTTACGTGAATTTTTTTTTTTTTTTAACCGTCCGCGGTGGAAATCTAACCCTAGTGTTCGACGCCCATGACACATCATCATTATCACAGTTATTATCACGAAGGGCCTTGCAAAAAGACGACTGGGCTACACTGTGAACACCCTGAGAAGAAGTGCGCATAGAATCCCTAAACAAGGACTTAAATGGGAAATAAATGACTCAGGAAACAAGGACATCCAAGAAAAACCCGAAAACGAACATCGACTAGTGAAGACCCGTATTGTCACTTTGGATGTTTTACATCCAGATGTAAATGTCTCCCCTTGCATTTAGATGGGGTTTTTGTCGTTTAGATGGTAGATGTTTTTCTAGATGTGTGTCATGTGTAGCAACTTTATCAAATCTAACCTAAGAAACAGGATGAAATTTGACCTCTTAAATGCTATCTTGACAATAAAATTTGGCCCGAGAAGAGTAGGAAAAGGCTGTTCCACTTATCAGCTCCCTGATTGAGTATTAAAATAAATTGGAACAGCTAAAGCATACCAGTCATTTTGGATCTGAAACTTCAACTTCATCATTCAAGCTAAGTTTATTCTGTGGATCTTGTAAGGCATACTTCAGTAAAGATGAGGACATGAATATATAGGGTAAGTCGTATCAATTGCTATGTTATTTGTGACTCTTTCAATTTGGATGTTTTTTCTAGATATTTCCCCGCAAATTTAGATGATTTTAGATATTTTGACTCCTTTTTAGATGTTTTTTTTCCAAGAAAAGTGGCAACACTGGAGAAGACAGTGTGTTGAACTGGATTCCATTAACGATATCGAAAGGATTCCACGGGAGATAACAGAATGGAGGAGTAGACTGAGAGCCCTGCGTGACAGACAATCCTACAACGCAGTGTTGATGAGGATAACGATACCTAATGTGGACGGACAGGTGCACAGCATAGCTTCTCGCTGAGTTGTCGCCCAGACCAGTTTGACCACAGCACAAGCGTTCTCCGGCTCGATAAAAGCTGCAAGCTGTAGGTTCTCCAGGCCGACTTCATGTCCCGGCCACACAAGCGTGTCGTTTGGCAATACTTTCAGCAGGTTCAAGGAGCGGATCAGCTGCTTCACTGGACCTTTGAATACAATGAGAAAGCAAACCTAGTTAAATAGTTTGTTGAAATGTTTAATGTTGAATGAAGAAACGACATCACAGCACTCGGGACACTACTATAAGTGCTCAGTCAAAATATTGAATAACATATGAACATAACAATACGTTTGAAATAATATGATATGTAGAAACAAAAGCTTTACAGGAGAACTTATATGCATTTACAAGGGGCGGGGCAGTGCACCCCCCCTCCCCCCTTTTCTGACGCCTCTGCATATTGTGAGGCTCTAAGCTGAATCTTAGTTAAGTTATGCCTAAATCTAGCACTGCCCGGAACCCAAACGGGGAAAATAATAAAATGATATGACCTGCTCCAATATCGAAGTCTGTCCTTCATTTTTTTTTTAGAAATTCTGAAACATAGCAGCAATATATATAATGCCTCTTCATGATTCAAGCCATACTCTTGTAACCAAAAAATAGTCAACATGCTCAAGTGCCTTGTCAATTGGCATCAACGATCCTGATCTTCAGATCTCATTACATTCAACATAACATAATAATTTGTTTCCTGCAAATTGTCCTTGCAATGAAGACAGGCTGTCAAGAATATCGGCTCTTGTCTTCCATTGCCTTTATTTGGGGGTGGGGGGGGGGGGGAGGAAAGGGGGGTCATACATTTTTAGAGGTGTCACAAGTTTTTCTCTTCTCATAAAAGCTCTTTAAAAAATGTCGACTTTGCTTTTCCTGAAAATAATAAACAGACCGTCGAACACACGAAGTCGAAAATATAAAGTCGAACATATATAGTCGAACATTTAAAATGGATCGTTCAGCGTCGAACATATAAAGTTCAACACATAAAGTCGAACATATGAAGTCGAACATATGAAGTCGAACATATAAATTTGAACATATGCAGTCGAACATATAAAGTCGAACATATGAAGAAGAAGAAGAAGAAGAAGAAGAAGAAGAAGAAGAAGAAGAAGAAGAAGAAGAAGAAGAAGAAGAAGAAGAAGAAGAAGAAGAAGGAGGAGGAGGAGGAGAAGAAGAAGAAGAAGAAGAAGAAGAAGAAGAAGAAGAAGAAGAAGAAGAAGAAGAAGAAGAAGAAGAAGAAGAAAAAGAAGAAGAAGAAGAAGAAGAAGAAGAAGAAGAAGAAGAAGAAAAAGAAGAAGAAGAAGAAGAAGAAGAAGAAGAAGAAGAAGAAGAAGAAGAAGAAGAAGAAGAAGAAGAAGAAGAAGAAGAAGAAGAAGAAGAAGAAAAATTACTTTAATTACTTAAACAATGCTTGGATCAAAATAGTTGCACCATGAGATAAAGGGGGAGCTGCGGTGGTGTAGAGGGTAGAAGGTCGTGGAGTCCCCATAAAATCACTCTCATGTCAACCCAACATAAAATGAGTACCAGAAATGGATAAGCTTGGCAAGTTTCCCTTGCAAGGTCACCGGTAGTGAGCAATCTTTGGATCTTGTCTCCTGGCTATGCCGGCGTGGTGGGGAATGAACAGGCAGACAGACTGGCTGGATCTACACAGCTGGGTGGTGAATTGATACACGATAAGGCAGATGTGGTCAGAGCCCTTTGGGAACAAGTAACGAAGTCAGAAGAGAAACAAGATTATCATGGGCTTGAGAGAATGCTGCACCTGAGTAGACCAGAGGGCTCGTCCGGAACACTATGCTCAGAGGAAAGGCAAGACGGACATAAAATCAGACTACGACCGGCACCATTAGTATTGAAACTCTGCGCAGGCTGCTGAGGATGGGGACGGAGTGTGTATAGGAATGCCCGGAGTGATGTGAATTATTGATTCAACTCAACAGGAAATGACGTCAAGGCGACCGGCGTGAAAGTTGGCCTCATCACCCACACATGTCGATTGGTTTATAAAATATGACTCTAGTATGATATGCCCAATGCACCACTGGAGCAGGAAGGGTCCTGTACTTGACCATATACAACAGACACTTACCTTGGGAACGCAGGGGTAAATGGCAATGAAAGAACTGACCAGCTGGCAAGTAATTCGCTAATGAGAACGAGAAGAAGCATGGACAGAGCTGATATCAACTCTGTACGGACTAGGTTGGGTAATAAAGACGAATCTCTGACGCTAACACGACTGGATGACTAAGGAATTAAGCTTGGTGAAGCACGTCTATGCCGTCATCAAGAAAAAGACAGGAGATACTTTAACCAACTTCTCATGAAAACAATCAGTTGATGTACCTTGGAGTGGCTGCTGCGTCGGAGGACTGAGCACGCATGGGGATGCCCAATGTGCAAAGACGTCGACTGTGATATCATAACTTAACATAACTTGCCTTCAAACGCAGCTCCACAGCCAGCCAGCATCAAATGGTCGCCTGTGAAGAGACAGTCAGAGGTTCCAAACTTGTCCCCGTGTAATCTCCAAACGATGTGTCCTTTCGTGTGGCCAGGCGTCCACATTGCAGTAAACTTAAGTCGGCCAAATCTGGAATGGAGTAAAGTTAACTAACGGTAAATCCATGATCAGATAATGTCTTTGTGGAGTGAAATTACAGTTGTGTGTAGGCAATATAAACGCCAGAATGGAAAAAAAAAAAAAAACCCACAACTATAACGTTACCTTTATGGTCGATAGTCGCTGGTTCAGGTGGATGGTTGTTCTATAAGATAGTATAGATATTGGATTTAACCATGTCGGTTCACTCCTCTAGCCACACCAGCCATCTTTAGCGCAACTTTGTTCTATACGATAGTATAGATATTGGATTTAGCCATGTCGGTTCACTCCTCTAGCTATACCAGACATCTTTAGCGCAACTATGTTCTATATGATAGTATAGCTATTGGATTTAGCCATGTCGGGTCCTCAGCTACCTCTTTACATGTTCTATATGATAGTATAGCTATTGGATTTAGCCAACTCTAGACATCTTTAGCGCAACTTTGTTCTACAAAATAAGATAGTATAGCCATATCGGGTCATTCTAGCCACACCAGAAGTCTTTAGCGCAACTATGTTCTATATGATAATGTAGATATTGGATTTAGCCATGTCGGGTCACTCCTCTAGCTACTAGCCATCTTTAGCGCAACTTTGTTCTATAAGATAGTATAGATCGTGGATTTAGCCATGACGTACTGCCAGGTGAGATTGGAAATACGAACACTATTATTATATTTAGTGATTACTTCCTTCTTCATTTCTTCTGTAATACGCTTAGGCTTCTTTACAACATTGTCACTAACCTAGGACAAGTCCTTAAAGAGGATAGTGGAGCCTTTGCTTCTACCACCAGCAACATGACAATGGATTTCATGGCAGTGAAAAAGTCCCAGGAATGGCTGAATGCTCAAGAGTTCACCAATGCGTGTTTGCTCAGCGACTCACTGAGCAAGCTACAGAAGATCCAGGCGGGATTGATACGGAAACAGCATTTCGCAAAATCCCCTTTATTTTTGTCCCAGGAAATCCTAGTGTGAAAGGCAATGAGAGAGCAGACGCTATGGCTGGCAGTGCGACTATTAATAATGGGCCTTCTATAGAAGGGAGAGACATCATCAAAGTCATAAAAGCGACAAAACGCTGTGAGACTTTCGGTTTCGGGGAAAATAACTGTTCACTAAAAAGACAGCATACCCTGGGTGTACCAGGAAACCATACTGGAGACACATGAACCAGAACAGAATGGGAGTTTTTAGCCTAAAAAAAAAAAAAAACTTGGAGATATATTTGAGAGGAGATCGGAGCACCTATGGTCATGTCAGATGAACAATGAACTTTCTTGGAAGCCATAGTAAGATAATTTGATGGGGTAAAAAATGTATCAAGAACAACACAACGACAAACAATGTTCACAGTGTGCAAAACTGAGTGCACCTGATGCGTTCGTTAGCCGAAAGCATGGCGCCAACGCCAAGTTTATGTATTCGTGGACCAAGGCATTATATGCGGGTCGAGTCCAAAGTTGTTCGAAAACTACAGTCGCTACTAGAGGCGTTCGTGACCCCAGGTACCACTGTACTTTAAAGAGAACTTCTGTTCATGGTATGACCTTATTTACACATTTGTTTGTGTGTGTGTGTGTGTGTGTGGGGGGGGGGGTGCATCTCAAGGGTGCATACCCCAGGTACCACTGTACTTTAAAGAGAACTTCTGTTCATGGTATGACCTTATTTACACATTTGTTTGTGTGTGTGTGTGTGTGTGTGTGTGGGGGGGGGGTGCATCTCAAGGGTGCATACCCCAGGTACCACTGTACTTTAAAGAGAACTTCTGTTCATGGTATGACCTTTTTTACACATTTGTTTGTATGTGTGTGTGTGTGTGTGGGGGGGGGGTGCATCTCAAGGGGTATGATCCAACAGGTTCATAGGCCCTAGAAAAATGGGAATATTCCTAAAAAAGAAGAGGCATGAAGTGACCAGCATGACCGTGGACGAAGGATATCAAACATTCCTTCAACGTTTAGAAAGTTCACGATAACAGCTACGTTCAGCAAAGGACCTGACACAGGATGCTGGATGCTAATGATAAAAGCCAAATCAGCCCTGCTGTATGGGACAAAAGACACACGAAAACAGTCAAAAGAGCTACCAGTAAACTATAAACATGCATTTACTGATACCAGTGCAGGACAGAAGTATAGCATAGTACTACATTATCAGTAACTGGATTCTTGCTGATATAACTGAACATATTCTAGTGTATTCCATGTGAGGAAAAGAAGCAGGTGATTAGTCAAGAGAGATAGATAGATAGATAGAGAGAGAGAGAGAGAGAGAGAGAGAGAGAGAGAGAGAGAGGGAGAGGGAGAGAGAGAGATAGAGAGATAGATAGATAGATAGAGAGAGATATATATATATACATTCAGACAGACAGACAGAAAGAGAGACAGACAGACAGACAGAGAAACAGACAGAGAAACAGACAGACAGACAGACAGACAGACAGACAGACAGACAGACAGACAGACAGACAGACAGACAGACAGACAGACAGACAGACAGACAGACAGACAGACAGACAGACAGACAGACAGACAGACAGACAGACAGACAGACAGACAGATAGATAGATAGATAGATAGATAGATAGATAGATAGATAGATAGATAGATAGATAGATAGATAGATAGATAGATAGATAGATAGATAGATAGATAGATAGATGGATGGATGGATGGATGGATGGATGGATGGATGGATGGATGGATGGATGGATGGATGGATGGATGGATGGATGGATGGATGGATGGATGGATGGATGGATGGATGGATGGATGGATAGATAGATAGATAGATAGATAGATAGATAGATAGATAGATAGATAGATAGATAGATAGATAGATAGATAGATAGATAGATAGATAGATAGATAGATAGATTATATAGATAGAGAGCACATGCGCGTGTGAATGTGTTGCGTACGCGTGTATGTGTGTGTGTGTGTGTGTATAGACAGGTAGGTAGCTAATTAGACCGGTCATGACTTACATAAGGACATCGCCGTCGTAGACACCATGTGTGCTGTCCGGCACACGGTCCAAGGCCCCGCCATATATTTTCAGTTTGGGGAAGGTTGCCCTCATGGCCTTGTTTCCACCGCTGTGGTCCCAATGTTTGTGTGTGGTGAGTATCGCATCCGGCTCGAACAGAACATTTTTGATCTAAGAAAAGAGTTCCCAGAGGAAAGACCATTTTAAGCAGAGGTTCATGTTGAGTCATCCAGAAGACACTAGTGCACAACTCAAAGAATTATAATTTGTGGAGAATTGTTATGGCTCGCGCGAGTTAGCAAGGCGCTTGATGCACTATCATAGTGTTTCCCCAACTTGTCTTGGTCGCGGTGCCTTTTTTCAATAAATTTTTCCCCCTACCTAAGTAAAAGTATGACTATTCGTGACTTAGTTAAATTAATTATGAAGCTTTCACAATATTTCGCGGCGCCCCTATGAAGAGGTCGCGGCTCCCGGGGCATTGCGGCGCACAGTTTGAGAATCACTGAACTGTCATATCATCTTTCCCGGCACATAACACCTGATTATAGATTCATATTTTCATAGATCAATCCGAACTCGATTGCTGGTGTTATCAACATTAAGCAGGCCACCATTATTTATAAGTGCGTTTCGATGTACCCATTTAAGGCTGGAGCCACACCGGAACCCAAGTCAATTGTAAATAAAACATTGGACACTGCAAATGAACATTAAACATTTTATTTTACGGAATATTCCCCCCCCCCCCACCCCCACCACACTGCATTGTCTTCCACAACGCATGTGTAAACAAAATGCTAACCCGATAGCTTATCGGGAATATAGCATACGAAGTTAACACAGCAACAACACCAACACAAAATTAACTAGACAAACCAACACACCAACAAAAGAAAAAAAAATATTTTTAACATTTAGGCTCAGAAGTGAATAACAGTGGCAACTGCACACACACACACACACACACACACACACACACACACACACACACACACACACACACACACACACAACACATACACACACACAAAGGCAGAAAATGACACGCTTAGCAATGCAGAGACTACAGAGCATGAAAAACCAGTGGCACATCACATGTAAGCGAGTTAGAGTAAAACTTTTGAGTTAATTCATCTTTATCCTGAAAAGTCATGGACTCAGTCATAAAAAAATATTTGATATACAAAAGCTTATGAACTAAAATGCTACAGAAAAATGCTTACAATACCATGGACCCAAAAGATAAACATCGTCATCTTGCAGGATCTGAGAACTGGCACAAAAACATCAACCTTTCCCGAAAGATGAGGTAGTTTGACCATGTTAAACTTCATGGTGATAGAGAGACAACAATATTGAAGTGTATAGTTCCTGAAAAAAAAACCCAACACAACAGAGATGCAGACAGCCGTGAAGTTGGATAAAAAAAAACTTCGAAGATGCATGTGCTATGAAAGCATACAGGGATGGATAACTGGCTGGTAAAAAGAAATGTTCAGGCGTGCCGCGACGAGAGTGACTTTCTGGCCCAGGACATGCTGACTGATGATTGATAAAACCTGGGAACTAAAGTCAACTGTAAAAACTCAGTCACAATGCGGATTCGAAGATAAAGCTTTTGGGCCGACAAGTAAGCATCCAGCCACTGCGCTGTTTCCGTTCCCACAAGTCTTTTATTACAGGTGTGATGTTTTGAGCTAAGGTGACTGAGAACAGAATAATATGACCTTAATGCTTGTAACATGTGATTAAAGTAAGACGATGGAGATGGCTTGGACATGTTTTCAGAATGCCTCGTAACATTCTGGCAAAATAGCCCTTCGGTGGGCAGCAGATAGGAAAAGGCGACGTGGACGACCTTAGAAAACCTGGAGAAGGACAATAGAACGGGAGATAAGGAATGTAAACTGACATGGGATTCCATGAACAGAAAAGCAGCAGACTGGCAGCAATGGAGATCCTTTGTGAATGCCTTATGTGTCAACAGCGACATGAAAAGGATATAGAAAGGCTTTTAACGTAGTGATTGATTTGTTCCACATTCAGTAGTGCTCACTAGGCTGAAATAGACTCAACAACAAGATAGTTAAAAAAAAGGGCAAAGAGACGGCAAAGAAATAAAAACCTGAATGGGTTTGCCATACGGATTAAGTTGAAAAAAAAAAGAGATTTGACCTGATCCGTGATTATGGTGATCGTATAAGACTGCTAAACAGGACCACCTATGCTTTTCAGAGGTCAAATGCTAAGCTGCACAGTCCGTGGCGACAGCGCTAGACTTGCGGCTGTAAATCTTGAGGCTTACCCCCTCAACCTCCCTACCCCCCCCCCCCCCCCCCCCTGCCTGCACCGCGAATGTGGTAAATAAAGGTGGCAACGGCAGTTAAAATAGCTGCTGATAGGTACGCACCAGACTAGCATCACCCACATCAATCAAGACGAAGTTGTTGTCGCAGACGTCGGCCACTAGGTAGGCATAGTTGCTGGTCAGTACAGGGATCGGGAGTATCAGCAGGTCATTGAACCTGGAGAAGTACGTGGGCATTAACACAGTTAACAGTGTAACAATGATAGTAAAAGTGGCAGGAGTAGCAGTGGTTGTAGTTGCGGTGTTGGTGGTGGTAGTTGTAGTAATTGACATACATACATACATACATACATACATACATACATACATACATACATACATACATACATACATACATACATACATACATACATACATACATACATACATACATACATACATACATACATACATACATACATACATACATACATACATACATACATACATACATACATACATACATACATACATACAT